ATAATAATTACTTCCCGGAGTTCCTGATTTATTATTTAATTAATCTCTTAAAAAAATGGGATGTTACATAAATACGATTATTATAAACATTTTCATAACATTCAAAACATATAAATATTAATCATCAAAATACATAAATGCGGATATAATAAAATAAAATGTTTGGTTAATAATTTTGTAGTTATCATTTTAGTATTTGATGTTTTTGTTTTCAATAGGGTTATTATCACTGTAGCCCAACAAACTTACGTATAATGGTTTAAATGGTCCCTCGTGAGTATTTCTTGCATTTTAATGGCATGTAATTATGTTTTCTGGTTTTAAAATGACACTTTTGGAAATATGAAGGGGTCACCCGGTGACACCCATCCCACGTAGCATTTTTCCAATTCCACGTAATATCTAATTAGATTAATTAAGTCGACATCATTTCCACGTGTATATGATTTAATGATACATATTGTACGTATTAAACCCCTCAAGTGCCTCTTTCGACCTCTTTCTTCTGTAACATCTTCATCCATCATTTGTTCAACTGTTCTTCGGTCCTACCATTTTCTTCAATTGTTCATCACTTTGTCGTTGCTATGGTCATTTACATGAAGATTGATCTACATTTTGTCGGAATTTTTGCCAGGTACCCCGCTATTATTTACTCTGTAACGCCCCAAAATTCAGAACAAGATTTTTCATTTAAAAATAAAAGTATTTATTCAATTTACAACAATGATATAGATAACACCATTTGATTCAAACATTTATCAGAGTATTGTCAAAAGTTATCATGTGTGGAAATCTCCAACTGGATGCGATGCAATTGAGCCGTACTGATCCCACATCGGCTTGGAAGGAGAACGAAACATTTCCTTATAAGGAATTTGGATACCTCCCTTGACACAACGCATTTTAAAGTCGTGGGGGCAGCAGATCCCATAAGAACTCTGCAGTTAAGCGTGCCCGGGCGAGAGCAATTCAGGGATGGGTGACCCCCTGGGTAGTTTTCGTGTCGGGAGCCCAAAGCGGACAATATTGTGATACGTGTCAGAGGGGGATGTTACAAATGGTATCAGAACTAGGGCACGGGTCGATGTGTTTAACAGGGACGTCGAACCCTATAATGGGGGGGGGGGGGGTGTGAAGGTGGGTTGCACCTAATCCCACATCGGCTTGGAAGGAGAACAAAACATTTCCTTATAAGGGATGTGGATACCTTCCTTGACACAACGCGTTTTAAAGCCGTGAGAGCAGTAGATCCCATAAGAACTCTACAGTTAAGCGTGCCCAGGCAAGAGCAATTCAGGGATGGGTGACCCCCTCGGAAGTTTTCATGTTAGGATCCCAAAGCGGACAATATTGTGATACGTTCCAGAGGGGAATGTTACACGTACCCCTTGTTTAATATAAGAAAAACCTGAAACATTTAAACAACAATCCGTAAACACAAAGCTTAGTGTGTTCCCTAAAATACCACACACAGCACAACATAAATAAACAACTATGGGTTATCAGGAACCCTGGAGACTACCGAAAGTCTCAGTGGGCAAACAGAACGTGTGGGTTATCAACAACCCTGGAGACTACTCGAAGTCTCAGCACACACGATATCACATATCATAGTAACAACAATAAGACCCAACTGGTCAGCACGTATATACTACCGCACATGCCAGCATACAAGAGTCACAAGAACAGCAAGCATCCTACATACACAATTTAGTGGGTCGGTATTGGTGCCTTCGACCCATGAGCACAGTGAGAAGACTCACCTGAATCAAAAAAATCTAAAACACTACGATACGATCCCTTTTCTGCACTGCTTGCACCCGTGAATCCAGTAACACCAAAACTAGATAAAATCTTAATTAATAGCCCAAAATCCTCAAGTTTGACCCAAGGTAAAACTTGGTCAAAAAGTCAACGATCAACGGAAGTCAAAGTCAGTAAGTCAAGAAGTCCAACTTCAGGCTGAGTACGCCCAACGTACTCAGCTCGTACGCATGACATACTCACCATCCGGAGACAGGACTCCACACGAGTACACATAACATACTCAAAGGTACGCCCAACGTACTCGGTCAAATGGCACTTTTCCATTAAGTGCTTATTCTCTTAAGTCCTTTCACCCAACACTCAGATCTAGACCCATAACATCATTCTAAGTCATAAAGTTCCCACCTTTATGACTTTCCATGCCTAGAAAAGGTCCAAAAGCCAAAACCCTAACTTATTAATCCATTAAGACATCATAAATCTTGCATGGAAGGAATAGAAGGACCAAGATTACATTTTTATGTTTCCTTATAGCTCCATAATGGATAAAGTTTCCAACTTTATCAATTAGAATGGTTCAAAAAACCAAGATCTAGTCTTTAAGTCTCAAAGGGACTAAAAGTGCGTCTTTTTCAACTTAATCCATTAAGTCCAAGTCTCCAACCTTTAGATCTAAATCAATATGATATTTAGATGGATAAAGTTTCGAACTTTATCCATAACAAGGTCGCAAACTTTAAAGATCTAAACTATACGCACTAAAGTGACCAAAAGCTCATAACACCTCAAACTAGCTAGATCTAACAAATGCATCATCAATATTCAAGCTTTATACCTCTAGAAGAAATATCAAGGTGAACAAAGTCTGGATCTACAAGCTCCAATGCAACTAACACTTCTCTGATGATCTCTTTCTTCTCCATGATGCACCAAGCACACTCCAAAGCACTCAAAAAAACCTTCTTTTTTGCTCACAAGGCTCAAACTAGGGTTAGGGGTTTCAAATGAGGGTGTTGGAGAGGTGGAGGTTGAGAATGGAATGAGTTTGGGGAAGTTAAAGAGCTTAACTAGGGCTTAAACCACGAAAATAAGGTTTGGGTTCTGATCGCGTACGCCTAACGTACTCCTGGTACGACCAACATGTAACTTAGAAAACACTTGTCATGAAGACATGTCTTTCATTCATCATTGGAGTTCACTTGCAAAATGCTTGTCATATAGACAGGTCTTTTACATATATCTCCAAAAAAAACTAATATAAAAATAAAAAACAGAAAATCTGCATACTAATATGCTTCGTAACCACCATTGCTTCAAATCCACCCATCACCCAAGCTTAACAACGAAATGTAACACAACCACTAGCAACACGAGCATCCCCACCATTATGTCACCCATCGCAACACCAACAACTTTAAACTTCTGATCATGGTCATCCAGCTTGTGATGGAGATTGATGTGGTCGATCCTGCACACGATATAGTCATGTCTGAGCTGCTTCTTCAACTGTTGCATTTCAGATTGATTATCTGCAATCTTCTGACCACATTCACAGAAGATTGAATGGAGCACATTGTATTTGATGTCTTCACCAGAATTTAAAGAGTCGGGTGAAGGTGGTGGAGCCGGCATTGTTGCTTTTTAAGGGTTCTTGTCGATGAGCGTTTGGCCAAATATGGTAAACAACTTTCAGGGTTGTTTTACATCAAGCCCCACATGGGTGTGTCCCCGTTTAATACGCAGACCTAATCCTGGAACTCAATTGGCTGTAAGGGTTGGTGGGATGTTGGTAGAAATTAAAGGCGGTAATTAATCTATGCATGCGTGTCATCGAGTCAACTCAGTATTGACTCTAGGGATGAGCTTTAGAACCAGACCCGGTTTTCCTATATTATAAGAACCGGGAACCGGACCGCCGGTTCTAGAGTCGGTTCCGGTTCCGGTCCCAGTTTTTCGGTTATTTTTCAAACTAGAACTGGTTGAAATATTATAGATGATATGTTATCTTCCAGAGTTTGTAAATGATTCAATATTTAACTAAATTATGACTTTTTACATTTTAAATTGAAGTACAAACACTAAATTACATGATGAAAAAAGAATCAAATAATTATGCCTTCATATGAGTGAGTTATGCGCATTTTAAAAGCGGGACAGATTTCAAAAAAAAATGTTGGAACGGAAAATACGCAACATTGATATGTTGTCTTCCGGGGTCTATAATTGATTAAATATCTAACCAAAATATGTGTTTTTATAGTCTAAAATGAACTATAAACACCAAATTACATGCTGGAAAAAAATTAAGTAATTCCGACATCATATGAATGAGTTATGCTCATTTAAAAAAATGTGTCAAATTCAAAAAAACAAAAAAAAATGTTGAAATAGAAAAAACGCAACATCGATATTATTTCTTTCGGGGGGTGTGTCTGATTCAATATTTAACCAAAACATATGTTTGTACACTAAAAAATGAATTACAAACTCTAAATTACATGTTGGAAAAAAAATCAAATAATTCCGACTTCATATGAGTGAGTTATGCGCATTTTAAAAAACGAGAAAAATATCAAACCGGTTCCGGTTTTTAGAACCGGGACCGGTTTTCATAAAAATGGAGAACCGGTAACCGGACCTTGTTACCAATTCTGGTTCCGGTTCCGGTTCTGACGGTTCTAATGCTCATCCCTAATTGACTCAACAGGTTCACTCACCTGCTTACTTTGCAAATGATTAGGTAGGAAAACCTACTAAAATGGGTAAAAGGACTTTTCCAATCGGTAAAACAGAAATACATGCCCTTAAAATGCAAAAAATACTCACGGGAGACCATTTAAACCATTATATGTAAGTTTGTTGGGCTACAGTGACAATAACCATTTTTAATAATTTAAAAAAAAAAAAAAAAAAAAAAAAAACTAGGATTCACTTGATTAGAACCCAACTGGCAACAACCCTTAATTCATTATTGAATGATGTTCAAAATGAAGATGCCAAGAGTTAATCGCATACAAAGACGTTGTGGTTTCATGCATACACATACAGTTCTAGCTTCATTTTTACAATAAATACTCCCTGTATTATGAGTGAAAAACGAAACTCCAAAGTTGCGTGTTTGAGTGTGCGTTCAGAAGAACTAATCAAAAAGGTGAAAAACCAATGGATTTTTTTTTTCTTTTGGAATCCTAAAAAAATGAACTAATGAACATATAAAAAACTTGAAAATACACACAAACTAATTAATTTAATGATTGCAGCCATAAAACAAGTAAAATTGATCTTTGTACAATGTTAACTTTCCAAGTACTACTTAGGATCAGCGTGTTGGTTTCAGAGTGCTTTCTTGTCGGATGTTTGTCCATGAGGTTCCACAGGAAGAAGAGATAAGATTCGCATCCTGTTGAAAAAAAAAAATCGATTATTTAAGACAAATTTTAGCGTAACATATATATAATTTTTTTAGAAAGAAGTAGATTTCTTACAATAACTTATCCGCAACATAAAATATAGGAAGCTTTCCCAATTCTTGACCCCTCCATTTTGTTTTTTGATAGTTGACCACACTCTCAGCATCTGAGCCTGCTGCAGTCAGAACAAACTGAGACACAAACAATTAGTGTGATTAACAAAATAAATATCCTGAAACTTATGATTTTGTAATAGTATGAGTTTGATTTTATTGATACATGGAAAGGTTTTTGAGCATTTACCATTGGAAAGAGCACAGCCATTACACCATAACTTACTAAAGGAGAAAAGAAGAAAATAGCCAGAACGCAAGGAGATCCTGAAAGTACATTATTCATACTTAAAATAATTGACATGCAGAATATAGTTAAGTGGATAAAATGATGCCCTTCAGAATAATTGAGGCAAATCAAATGTAAACGTGAAAAAGAAAAAGAAAAATCACCAAAACCAGCAAAGAATGCCCAGTTTGACTCAAAGAAGTCAAGCCTTTTATCCAAACTCAAACCAGAGAAGTTCCATTTGTACCTATAAAAAGATTAAATGAGAGGCCACAAAATAAAAAACAGGAGCCATGTCATCGCCACTTACTCAAAGCAGTAGTAGGCATACATCCATGAAAGAAGTATAAAATTGAGTGCCTTCCCGATATAAGGCACCAAACCCGTGAGGTAAACCTGTTATATAATATCTATATTATTACCAAAAGCTATCTATTACTTAAAAACACCAATGAAATATGATATATGTATATACCTCGAGAAAGAAAAAGGTCAAAAGGAGGAGTGAATAGCCTTGTTCTGCTATTCCTATCATGACCCTGAAAATATATATATGATGTTACTTATGGTTATGGCAACTAAATTAGCAACTCCAAAAAGTTTTTTTTTTTTTTTTTTTTTTTTTTACCGGCCAAGATCAGTTGGTTTATCAACATGTGTATGTGTTTGTGTTGTATTTTCTGAAGTTGATGCCTCTTTTTTGTTATTGTTAGATGGAGTTGCATTGGTTGATCCAGCTCTTTCAGTCACTGTAAGACCAAACTGAGCAATATCATTGTACCTAGATATAAGCAGTATAATTAATCAAAGTCGACTGTTATTTATTATGTATGTGGGTGGAAAATGATGTATTTAACACTCATTATAAATAAATATGTACCAGATAGTGCTTAAAATGAAGCTGAATATGTACAAAGGGTAGAACCATAGACCCTGTTAACAACCAAAATCATATCAATTCATGGCCTTGGCAGCATTTCAAAATCACAAAACATCTAATTCAAAAGACAGAAAAGTCAAACAAGTCAATCGATAAAGGAGTCCATAGTCAACTCTCTCAAGTAGATGGGGTTCACTGGGTACAAAGGAGATCTAGAGACTTAAGCACAAACATATTTAGCATTTTCAGATTGTAGGCATCATGGCAACTCACATTTCAAGAATTAATTCTCAATGATTGTTAAAGTAGGCATCTTTAGATCAAAGCTGCACACATAAATTAACCAAGTTTCCTATTGTATACTCACATAAATAAGTTGTAAGAGTCCAAGTCGTAAGAAGGCATACAATCTTATAGGCATATGCGATAAGCATAGATCTTGATCACCATCTGAGACTCCAAAGGGTAATATCCATTGTAGTGTTGGAATGATAAGAGATCTTAGAATGAAAATACTGCAAATAATACAAGTTTAGATCACCATAGAGAGTATAAGGTCGAATGAGAATTGCAACTTAGTAACAGTTGAACATTATGCATCAAGAAACTTATAAAGAAATAATTTATTTTTAGGGCTAAATGCTACAAATAGTATCGTACTTTCCTTTATTTGTTTATTGTAGCATCTTAATTTCATTTGTTTCGATTACAACATTGTACTTACACTTTTTCCCATTATGGCGTTCTACTTTGAAAAAATTACCCAATTATAGCATTGTACTTTGATACTAGATTACTAGGTTATAACAGTGAAAATTGCTTTGTAGTTGGATGGCATTGCTATGATTATTTAAGTACTGTGAATTCTACACGATTATAGATTCAAATCTAAACAGTTTTGAGGTTCAAATTTGGCATAGATTTCCGCAATCGTAATGTTCCTTATATAATTACACATAATTATCAATGTGATCTACGCAGACAAACTAATTCTAGTCAATTTTGAAGTTAAAAACGTTTACTAACGACCTCCAAATATCCAATAGTAACTCTTTCAGGAACAAAGGTAGGATCGTTTTACTTCAATCAACACAATTTTACAATAGTTACAAGTATTCGAATCATCGGCACAAATTAACAGAGCAAGATATTACCTCCCTAAAAATATAAAACCGTTTAAGAGAAAGCACTGTCCGGTTCGAATCATCAGTTGCCTCGACCTTCAGAAGCGAATAAAACAATTAAAACAAAAGGTCGAAATTGAAGAAGCAACTTCTGTAAAAGTGGAAAAAATTGGAGAACCTGAGACAGTAGATGACGACTCTGTGGAGACAGCAAGCTTCTCGAAAACCTTCGACCCACAACACCGATGCTTGCTTTAGCTTCGTGAGGTAGCCTCTGATCAAGGGGCCGATGTTTTCCATTACTGAATTTACTCTTTGTTTCGTGCGCGTGAGAGAGACGAAATTGATTCCTCCAGCACCAGCAGGTTACGTTTCATATGCCGAACTTTTAATGACTTGGTCCCTATAGTCTATCGTTTGTAACAGGTCTAGTCCCTAAATGAGAAATTTAATGTATTGGTCCCTATAGTATATCATCTGTAGTAGGTCAAAAGTCAAAACACACGAATTCTAGCACCTATCAGGGTATCACCGTCGACAACGAAGAATAAAGAATTCGATGATTCGTAAACTAGAGGTCACCAAATTAAGCCATTCAAAATTTTCCTTTTTATTTCAACATCTATGCCAAAATTGCAAATTTGTCCCTCATCTCTGGGGAATTTATATTTAACTCCTGACATTCATAACTTTCAAAATTTTGTTGTCTAAAATAGTAAAAATTCGTTTGCAATTTTTGTTCGTTTTGTTTATGGATATTGCATATAACTAGGGGTGAGCAAAAACCGAACCGCAAACCGAAAAACCACAAAAAAACCGCAAAACCGAGACCGAAAAACCAAAACCGAAACAAAAACCGACGGTGCGGTTTCTACCTTTGCAAAAACCGAAAGTTTTCGGTGCGGTGCGGTTTCTAGTTT